GACCTATAGAAGTCAACTAAAGAATGACACTTCTAGTTAAAACATGCACTGAAATCCTTCCAGTAGTGAGGCTGAGAGGAAAGCAGTGCTTGGCTATTGACAAGTGTCTGTTTGACATATTTTTTCCTCCTTTTGGAAGCTTCATGAAAATAAGAGTTGCTCACTGCTTCAAAAATCTTTCTACAAAAATGTAAGAAAACCAATTTAGAATTGAACATGCTCAAATGATTCTTGATGAAGAAAAGGTTTTATATTGAATGATTATCATTGTCTCTTGCTTAAAAAAAAGACATATATTGCCTTACTGAAGATGATGAAGCAATATGTTACTCTATCATTAAAGTTAGTACCATAGATGGTGCTTGTCAGAAATGTGCAAAAGATCGTAAGCTGGTCTCTTTGCAGTGCTGAAGTTTGGATATTATGTAGATTCCATCATTTGCATTTTAATATTTGTGAATTATTATAATGTAAATGAAGCAGAACTGTGTCTATGTTTATCTTTTATCAGTGTTTGTTTACTTAGGGTGCACTGGAAAAGAAGTAGATGGGAATTTAAACACTGAATGGTGGTGTCTCAAAATTGTAATTACTTTCTGATAGCATGTGACTTCCCATAACTCTAAAGCTGCATGAAGGGATTGGTTTTCTGTGCTGTATATATGCAGAGGAGTAAAGGAGTGTCATTTTAGTAATTATTATTCTGAGAAAAACATCTGTGGCACAGTGCCTGTGAAAATGATGATTATCAACAATAAGCAGTTATGACAATTCACCTCAGAAATTTTTTTATTGATATCTGGAACATTGCTTTTACTTTCCAAAATAAAAAAAAAATAAAAAAATTGTTTGCTTCTGGTAAGTGGTGAAAAATACTTCAGCTTCTTTGTGATCAGGGCAATCTCCTGGGAGAATGAGTCATGAAAACATTAGTATAGCTCGAACTTACTGTTCTGCAGTTCCATTATTTTAATTGTTAGGATTCTTGATATCCAAATGGAAGCATTCATTATACAGCTTTTTTATCTTGAGGATGGACAGGCTACTAAAACAAAAATCTTAACCTAAATCTGTTTTAGCTAAGCATACTTTGGCTTGCTTTAGGTCATAAAACCCATGTGAATGCAAGTTACAAATTAATCTTTTATTAGCTTCTTTATTATTCTATTATTGGCTTCATTTTATTAGCAGGCAAAATGTTGGTGCAATGGTAAAGTGTAGCCTCAGGAAAGAAAATCTGCAGCCCTTTTGGGATGCTTCAGCCTGTGGATTTCTGGACTCATTATTGGCACTATGCATTACTAATTGTTGAAGAGCTTACGTCTTCCTTTCATCAGACTTTTCGCTGTCTTTTTATTTATTTAGTTGTGAGCCAGAAAGTGGCGAGACCAAAGAAAATGATATGTGGTAATAATTAGAAGAGCAGATCAATCATACGAGCAGTGCTGGGGGAAGAGCAGGGGGTGAGGCATAAAGGCCCATCAGTTACTGTCATTGCTTTGATTTCCTGTGAGAGTGACTTTCATTGCTGTTGTAGTATGATTTATAGTTAGAGTGCTTTTAGCATTGAAAAACTTCACATGGGTTTTCATATTTTAGCAGAAATGGAAAATTCTGATTTTTGCACATCTGTGTGTCAATGCAAAAGGGATGCTTGTCATTCCCAGTGTATAATCTCAAGAAATTCTGCAAAAGAGGAGTCAAGTATTTGGCTGAGACATAGGTGTTGACAATGTGCTGTAAAATTCAAAAGTGCCTGAGGGGCTGAGTGTGCAGTTCCTGGAGAGTCCTCTTCTGGCAGTGACAGGAAGAAGCTGTCAGAAGGAATTGGATGCTTCTCCCATTTTCTTGGACGCAGCAGGCACAGGGCTCTGCTGCTGTTCTCTGTGGCAATGGAGAAGTGGAGTCCAACTTGAAAGGTTTTGAGTGGTTGTAAAAACTGAAAAACTGCCTTCTGCAGACATTCACATGCATACTGACTGTGACTGATTTTCCAAGTTTTAAATGGCAAATTTTTGTTTGTCACGGGACCTTGTCTAGAGATAGCTTAATGGGTAGCCAGGGGTCCTGGTACTGAGCTCATATAAAGTCTGTGTGTTACAGATGCCCTCTAAAGAATAGTACCAAATTTAGGTGCTGGAGTATTTGTGTTGTGGGCTGGTGGAATTTTCTGGCACATTGTTTGGAAATGTTGGGTCACTACAGATGGATGAAGGGTATAAAGGGACAGAAAACAAAGAGGTGAGGAGAGCTTTCTTATAGACCTATAGGAGCTGATCATGAACCAATGTATTTAGCTTGATACTTGGCACAGACCATGTATGTGCAAATTCCAGATTGCCAGTCTCCCTGACTGGATGAGCTCCATAGCATTGGTGACTCTTCTGTGCTACAAGGGGAAGCAGAGGTCTCTAGGAGACTCACTGGCAGAGGTGATTCTCCCTGGAGATCACAAACCTCCATGCCTTGCCCTGCAACAGAGCTGAGTGTCAGGAGCAACTAGGCAGGGGATCATGGGCAGCCCTTGCGGGCTGTGTATGTAGAGATTTGGGTTTACAGGGTTCCTGTAGCAGACAACCTTCTTGAGCACCACCCACTACTAAAACTAGAGATGGACTCTTTTTTCTTATTTTTCTTTCCTGCTCCACTGATCCCCAAACTCCATGCCCTGGCTGTTCACCAGAAGTTGCTGTGAGCTGCCACATACCTTGGCAAAACTTAGGAAGAGCCATCTTAAATGCACTGTGGTCCCACAGTCTGAATCAGTACATGGATTTTTCCATCTATGTTTTGTGTTAACTTTTGTTATGTGCAGAGCTCTCCCTCAAGAAAATCAAAACATAGTAAAACTTTACCTTTCACAGAATATTGCTTTCTTTTAAGTGAAACTAATGGTAAAACTCACTGTTTTACATTGCTGCTGTTTATCTGAATCTTAGGATCTGTTTAGCTATATAAAAGTAGCAGCTGTGTATTTTTATTTTTGTGATAGTATGATACTAAAATGTCAGTGAATCTCAAAAGATTTCATTCTAAAACAAAAACAACTTTTATTAACCTAAAAGAGAAGCTGATTTTTCGGTTAAAAATATAAATTCCTCTTGTTGTTCTTCTACACACTAAATTTAGTTTAGAAGTATTCTGATAATAGTCAGTTTGAAAAACAAACATTAGTGATGTATATTCGGCTCTTATATACTAGGAATACCCTCTTTCTGTGGAATATATGTTTGAAAAAGGAAATTCAGTTTCCTTCATCCCCTTCTTTCTCTCAAATACCTTTTCCTCTGGCTCTTATAATTGTAGTTATGTCTAAGCCATGCCCTTTCAAATGGAAGATGAATTACAAACCTGGCAACCTTCTGTGCTCTTCTGACAAATTACACCTCGTGCTGCTTTTTTGCCTTAGAGTCAAATCCAGTTTTAATGCAATTGTGATTTATCAGCCAGGGTGGATAATTTTTGAACAGATGCTTATTATTGTAATCGTATTGGCCATGGTAGCAAAGGATATATTCATTTAAAAAACAGTCAGACCATCATTCTTGGAAGCATTTGTAAATGTTAAGTCTAGACCAATGGAATAATAATTATTTCTATGAGATTAGTAGCTCTTTGCACACTGGCAATGTGATAACCCATTTTTTAAACCTTCAAAAAGTCTAAAGTCTAGTTTTCTGTGGCAGTGGCAGAGGGATTGTATTACTTGTTTCACTCTTCCTCCTTGGCAGTCCCAAATAATCTGCCTTGTCCTTTACAGTCAGTGTGGTGGTAACATGAGGCCTGACTTTAATTGCAGTGCTAGTTGGAACCTGTTCACCTGGTTTGAAGATTACCACAGAATTGCAAAAAGTGACCTGTAAGGTACAAGAAAAGAGATTATACCCAATGAATACTTTTGTGTACTCACTAGCAGGCTCAGCAGAAGTACCTTGTGTGGATGGTTGACTGTCTTGGCAATGTTGTAGGTTGCCATTGTTATTTGTGAAGGGTTTGGAGGAGAGGTGGGGAAAGGTGATTTACTCATCGGGCTGTGTATTTTCTTCGCTGTCCTAAAGTGCTACTCTATGTTACTCTCTGAATTGGTTTATGTTTCGTAAGGTAAAAGTTACTCTGTTTCAGTTTTGACCTTAGAGATGCAATCGACAGTTCAAATAAAAGGGAGAAACCTTTTTGTGTTGCACTTTATACATGATGGCCCGTGGTGATCTGGTGCCCATCTGAGCTTGTTTGAGAATTGGTGTCCTATAGACCTCCAGGATAACTTGTGTTTGAGGTCTGCAGAGAGCAAACTGAAATAGCAGCACTGACAGATAAAAACTGAATGTGCTGACTGATTTTATAGATGGTATGTTAAAAGTATTCATACTGCAGATACTGTTGGAGGTTTATTTCTGACCTTTATTGTATATATATTTTGTATATTAGATTCATCCCAAGCTTACTCCAAAATGTGTTGATTTCTTTAAGCCATGTTTTGTTTCAAATGTTTAATTGGTGTGTGGGTAGGCCTTCCCAAAATTGCACCTCCTCTGATACTGAAAACAATACTACACTGTTTCAGACGTTCATTGAATGAAAGCGTTAAGATTTTTTTCTTCCTTACTGTTCACACCAGTTTGGTGAATTGTAGGTCAATGGTTTCATAAGAAATATTTGTGTTGGCATTGTTGTTACTCTGCAAAATCTTTCCTAAGCTTTCCTAAAAAGTGGGATTATAAGAACTAAGCAGCATATTATTATGTAAGAATTTGTGAAGATTTTTTGCAAAAACCAATTTCAGGCAAGCCAAGAAAAAAAGGCAATAGCTCTAATGTTTCCAAGAACATTTCTGCTGAGCCTGCTGAGCCTGTGATGCATATGGTTCAGAAGGAATAAATCAGTTACACCTCCAGATTTAGGTTTGTAAGAAAAGTAGAACAATACAAATGTATAGCTTGAATTGTCGATTTTTACTTATGTAAAGGTTGCTAATATCACTATGCTATTGCTTGTTCTAGAGCATCTCATCCTCACGAAGTAGAAGCTCATCTCTGCTGCCACCTGGGACAGTTAATTCTGCATCTCCGAGTGGCCAGAAACACATGAATCAAAGTGGACCAACTGTTGTAACCATCACACATCACAAATCACCTGCAGCTGCTCGAAGAGCCAAGAGCCAGCGATCTGGTCAACTCCATGAAGTCAGAGAGGTAAGAGAGAAACATCTGCTGTTTTGCTATAGCTTGGAGGTGCTTATTTTGCTTTAGGATAAGCAGTTGAGTCTGACAAGTTAATGATTCTCTTTGTTTCCTACTTTGTGACTGCTTTGTTTTGATCCCTTTGCTGAGCAAGGGCTTTAGTTCTGGTTCAACTTCAGGTCAGGTGTATACAGATTTTTTTATGCTGATGTTAAAACTGGTGTGTGCAGATACTTAAAAGTAAAGTAGATTGGCAACAGCTCCCAGACTTTGCAGTGGTGTTGCAATAGTTGAGGAAAACCTCTTTGAAGCTGCATGCAGCAATACCTCTCAGATTGAAAAGTGGGCCCTGAATAATTTAAATAAAGCTGGAAGAAAACTACTTAAGTCTGATGAACACGTAAATGAAGGCGTTACTCCCTACACTAAGCAGTTTGTTGCTGTCCTGCTGTAGTCTTAACTTTGTGTCAATTTTATATTCCTGACCTTGCAGAGGAAAAATGGTTTATCTGTATCAAATGCATGAAAACCAAAGAAGAAAGCTTGTTTCTTTTAAAGCCTGTTTGTACCAGTGTTTGAGAAATTTAACTCACACCAATTTAAAGTCTGTCTTCCAGACAGCAAAAATAGTACAGAATTTTAAGCTTAAATATGGCAGATTTTCACAGAATACACTTTCATCTTTCATCACATACTATTTTTTGGTTTGTCTTTCATGTTCAGAATTTGAATAAATTCTTGAGATGTGCTCTCGATGAAGGCTTAAATTGCACATCCTGAGGAGGAATGCGTGTTTTTCTTCTAGTAAACATCAGAAATTAAGAACTCACTGTCTGAATGTCACCCACGTTTTCTTACATTATAGAAAACACACATCTGTTTATTTTTTATAAAAATATCCTGTCTTTGTCTACCAATCATCTCCCCCAGGTTGTTTATAGCATGCTGAATGTATTTGCTCTCATAGGTTAAGTTCAGAGTGCACTTTAAACCTATTAATAAAATCAACAGTGGGAGGTGTTGCAATTTTGTCAAAAGAAGCTGAGTAAGACTGAAAGCAATTTAAAAGAGAGTATTAGTGTATGTGCTGATCATAATAAGTTGGGAAGGGAAAAAGCCATCAGTTGCAAAGAACTACACCTAGAAAAAATAAATACTAACCTTTGGTAAAACTATGAGTAACAGGTCAGGTATCATCCCTACAGAAAAGAACAGTGAATTGCTGACTCACTTGTTTGCGGTGTATTGCAATGTGATGTCATTCCAAAAAGGAAACTATTACAGGACTTCAATCTGTAATGATGGAAGGTAATTATTTTGTTTTGTTTGATGTGAATTGTACTTCAGCTGCAGCACCAGTTCCTTTTAGAGGCCTGCAATAATAATGGAAAAAACCCCTCAGACACTGAAGATACAGTAATGGCTGAAAGAAATGAGTGCTTTTCAGGGAGAGAAAATGGTACTAAGATGAATGATGCACAAAAAAATTTCATAAGATGATGTGTGAAGTTTACCTCTTTATGTATTGGAAATATTGTGTTTGTGTGCTGCTTCCGAAGGAAGAGCTTAACAGTGGAGAAGTCTGACCTTCTGCCATCTTTCCCAGACTTGTGTAAAAAGTGGCTGCTTAACTGACATTGTTTCCATCTTGTGAAGGATAAGTCTGTTTTTTCCAGATGAAGGAAGCAGATTTTATTTCAACAGCATGCTCTGTGCACTTCCTTCTCCCCTGTTTTCTAGAATGAATGCAATAGACTTGGATATATGATACTTGTGTTTTCAGGGAATGTCTTTGTTCTGTGTATGAGTCAATTCAGTGACTGTTAGATCCACCCTCCCTTGTTAAATTTATAAATAAAGAGGTATGTCCAGAGCCCCTCACAAAAGTGCCCCTAAATCTGTTCTAGTCCTGTTTTTTAATCTGAAACAATGAAAAATAGGAGCTTAAAGTGCAGTGAGAGAGAGAATTAATCCTTTCCTCGGTGTCCAAATCTTTGCTTTTTATTTGAAATTTGTTTAGTATGATCTGGATGAAGGGAAGAGACTGCAAAAGGATTATAGATCAATGTTAGTGTTTCTCTGATTGAATGATGCCATTGAAGCTTTGACCTGCAAATAAGTTTTTTAAAAATTAATCTATAAATAGGACTGCACTGGCTAATTTTGCACCTTATAAATACAGTAGTTGAATACAGTAGTTGAGCCAATGGAAAAAGTTGATCTGCTTCTGGAAAATGAGAGGAAGCATGTGTGTTTTAAATTTCACAACAAGGTTATGATATGGTAGCGCTACTGTGTTATATAGGAGATCTTTGGAAAACTCGTAGTACTGCAAAAAGGTGCATCCTTCACTTGGCATATGTGGTGTTGGCTAGCTTGGACAATGTTCCCAAGAAAGTGTTGAACTTCAAATTGCTACTCAGTTCTGAACTTTCTTGATCTGGCCATATTATTTGGAAAAAGGAGACATGTATTTCCATGTTGCAAATAGTGCAGAATATACTCCTATATTTTGTATAATGCAAGGTGTTTGGTAATACTTGATTGTTCTTTTCCCCCTTTTTTCACTTCATAATAAGAATAAACAACACAGTAAGAATAAACAACAGCGTTTCCATCTGTGGTTTGTTCTGGTTGATTTAGTTTTATTTTTAAGAGGCTAGAAACTAATTGTAGCAAAGAGGTCTATTTAGCACCAAACTGACATGCAAAATCGTATCAATGTAGTAAATACAACTGTTTAGTTGGCAAAATGACACATATAATAAATGTTTCTGTTGTGCAATTGGAATTTCACCTTTTTTCAAATTTTAGTAAGTTAAAACTGAGCATAAGTATGGAGCTTTTGACTGCTATAAAAAATTTATGTTTTAGTATTTGACCTACTTTTGTATAGTGTTGAATTGAAAAGGAGCTCAGGAGTATTACTTTTCATCATAATGTAATTTTTTTATGCTGTTTAATATTGTTCTCTTAAATCAGATTTTTGCTTATTAACTTGGTGTTAATAGCATAGTCCACACTGATTTAAGGAATGTTACATCAAAACTAAAATTAACCATACATTAACTTGTGAGAAATTATCTGCATTGTGTTGCATTTTTACGCAGAATTATTACAGATCCTACCTCTTTATTTGGACCATAACTTAGCATTAAAGTGGTACTTTAAACTCATTTTTTAGTAAGTGATTTTATGGCAACCCAAGTCTCTGTGGTCTTGAAATTTAATTCTGTTTTTTTTAACTGTGCATATTATTATCCTGTTAGAAATTTATGATAAGAGTTATGCTTTCAGATTTCTTTACTGTAGGTGGTTAAAATCAACTAGAAGGTTAACTCAAGTGGCCTCATCACACTTCATATTAAATTTTAGCTGTCACTGAACTAAATAATAGTGACAGAATGGTCAGAATGGTGTTTATTTTGGCTGAGAGTGTCAGACTCTTGTACAACCTCTGCCAGTGTTACCATTGTTGTTAAAGAACCAAGAAAGAACCATGTGTGTGAAGATTTTGTAGTAATTTATATTATTTACAGACATTTAGAGAATGTCTAGAAAAGAAGTCTAGAGAAAAATTTCTTACCCCAATTTAAAAAAAGGATTATGAATTTAAGAAGGATAATGAAGGATTTTTCTGGTCATTTTGAAATATGTTTGTTACAACTTTTGATACCCTGACTAGTCATCAGCATGGGTTTCTGGACATTTGGTACAGGGAGATCCAGATTTCACGAGGCCTCTACCAGTGTAACATCTCTTTTATGTGCCAGAGGGCAGTCCTAGAACTTGGAAAGGACTGCTTTTTGGTTAGATGACAGTCCTAATGCTTCTTGCATGTCTTTTTCCATGTATAATCGGTTACTATTTGATTCCTGCAGGAATTAAGCAGCTAAGTGATAGTTCTTTGCCTCCTTCCTTACAGTATGGGGAAATCTAGGACTTGCACCTAGGGCTTCATGGAATGAGATTTAACAGCAATTTTGTGAGGCTGCAGTTGTCTGATTTTATGTGGTTATTGGGATCCCCCACTTTTGGGGATTTTTCAAGTGAGATGTGAATGTCCTCAGGTTGCTGTAATATTTGGATAGCAAAGTTAGGAACTGTGACTCGCTACTGCTGGCAAAAAGGGGATGCTGTTGTCTGTGGAGAAGTGTTGTGTCACAGAATTACAGTGCTGTGCAGGCATCATTGTAGGTGACAAAGGAGATGTGGTACTTAAACCACTTGGGGAAACATTCAGACTTGTAGGACTTTCACATGTGTGAACCTTATGTGAAGACATACACCAAGCTGTGTGTTGATGTTAAAGCTTTGTACTAAATGTTTAAGCTGGTAGTGGGGGAAATCTTGATGGTTTTTGACCTATGCCAAATTTTACTTTGCAGCTTTGAAAAAGTCAGGCTTTGCATTTTATTTCAATTTTTTTTTGTCCTCATGTTTTTTCTGAAAGTATGTACATGGAAAGAAAGGTCCCTGGGTAAGGTCTAATGTGAGTCCTAGTAAAAAGAATGCTGTAACTCCTGATACTTGGCATAGTGTTGAGGTTCTGTGGGATTGTGCAATAAGAGTGCTTGAAAAATAATGGATTCAGCTCCTTGAACAGAACATCATGCTTAGACAGTGTGAAGTATGTACAAAGAACATTTAAAAATCCTGTTAGCAATTTAAGTGTTTTTGAAAGTATGTGTCTAATTTTGTGTAAAATTACTTCACATAAGTGGGGAGAAATTCTATATATTAGATCATTGCTTTCACTGGCAGTTCTTACCTTGATTTTGGAGTGCAGGAAGATGAGAGCTAGCTTTGTAACAAAGATGACCTTTAAGTCTGCATGAATAATAAATTAAATATTTGCTTTTAGGAGATGAAAATGATTTCATATTCACCTAAGGTATGGAGGTAGGATGGGCTGCTAAGCTGTGCTAACTTCAGTCTTTCTGGCCTGGTAATGCTGGTGCCTTATTGGGGAAGACCTGATAACCATGGACTGCAGCTAAAATAGCACTGCT